AAAGGTCCAGAGTTCATTTTAAGTGTGCTATTTGCATTTGGAATCTGTTGCTGTCAACTCTCAAGATGAGATCCAAAGAGCTGTCACTATCAGTGAAGCAAGCCATCATTAGGCTGAAAAAAACAAAACAAACCCATCAGAGAGATAGCAAAAACATTAGGCGTGGCCAAAACAACTGTTTGGAACATTCTTAAAAAGAAGGAACGCACCGGTGAGCTCAGCAACACCAAAAGACCCGGAAGACCACGAAAAAACAACTATGGTGGATGACCGAAGAATTCTTTCCCTGGTGAAGAAAACACCTTTCACAATAGTTGGCCAGATCAAGAACACTCTCCAGGAGGTAGGTGTATGTGTGTCAAAGTCAACAATCAAGAGAAGACTTCACCAGAGTGAATACAGAGGGTTCACCACAAGATGTAAACCATTGGTGAGCCTCAAAAACAGGAAGACCAGATTAGAGTTTGCCAAAAGACATCTAAAAAAGCCTTCACAGTTCTGGAACAATAGCCTATGGACAGATGAGACCAAGATCAACTTGTACCAGAGTGATGGGAAGAGAAGAGCATGGAGAAGGAAAGGAACTGCTCATGATCCTAAGCATACCACCTCATCAGTGAAGCATGGTGGTGGTAGTGTCATGGCGTGGGCATGTATGGCTGCCAATGGAACTGGTTCTCTTGTATTTATTGATGATGTGACTGCTGACAAAAGCAGCAGGATGAATTCTGAAGTGTTTCGGGCAATATTATCTGCTCATATTCAGCCAAATGCTTCAGAACTCATTGGACGCCGCTTCACAGTGCAGATGGACAATGACCCAAAGCATACTGCAAAAGCAACCAAAGCGTTTTTTAAGGGAAAGAAGTGGAGTGTTATGCAATGGCCAAGTCAGTCACCTGACCTGAATCCGATTGAGCATGCATTTCACTTGCTGAAGACAAGTCTGAAGGGAAAATGCCCCAAGAACAAGCAGGAACTGAAGACAGTTGCAGTAGAGGCCTGGCAGACCATCACCAGGGATGAAACCCAGCGTCTGGTGATGTCTATGCGTTCCAGACTTCAGGCTTTAATTGACTGCAAAGGATTTGCAACCAAGTATTAAAAATTGAAAGTTTGATTTATGATTATTATTCTGTCCCATTACTTTTGGTCCCTTAACAAGTGGGAGGCACATATGCAAACTGTTGTAATTCCTACACCGTTCACCTGATTTGGATGTAAATACCCTCAAATTAAAGCTGACAGTCTGCAGTTAAAGCACATCTTGTTCATTTCATTTCAAATCCATTGTGGTGGTGTATAGAGCCAAAAATGTTAGAATTGTGTCGATGTCCCAATATTTATGGACCTGACTGTATATACAGTGGGGATCGAAAGTTTGGGCACCCCAGCTAAAAAAATTTGTATTAATGTGCATAAAGAAGTCAAGGAAAGATGGAAAAATCTCCAAAAGGCATCAAATTACAGATTAGACATTCTTATAGGTCAACAAAAGTTAGATTTTATTTCCATCATTTACACTTTCAAAATAACAGAAAACAAATAAAATGGCGTCTGCAAAAGTTTGGGCACCCTGCAGAGTTTATAGCATGCACTGCCCCCCTTTGCAAAGCTGAGACCTGCCAGTGTCATGGATTGTTCTCAATCATCGTCTGGGAAGATCAGGTGATGTCAATCTCAAAGGCTTTAAATGCCCAGACTCATCTGACCTTGCCCCAACAATCAGCACCATGGGTTCTTCTAAGCAAGTTGTCTAGAAAACTGCAACTAAAAATAGTTGACGCTCACAAAGCTGGAGAAGGCTATAAGAAGATAGCAAAGCGTTTTCAGATGTCAATATCCTCTGTTCGGAATGTAATTAAGAAATGGCAGTCATCAGGAACAGTGGAAGTTAAAGCAAGATCTGGAAGACCAAAGAAAAATATCAGACAGCACAGCTCGCAGGATTGTGAGAAAAACAATTCAAAACCCACGTTTGACTGCACGATCCCTCCAGAAAGAGCTGGCAGACACTGGAGTTGTGGTACACTATTCCACTATAAAGAGATACTTGTACAAATATGGTCTTCATGGAAGAGTCATCAGAAGAAAACCTCTTCTACGTCCTCACCACAAAAATCATCGTTTGAACTTTGCAAATGAACATATAGACAAGCCTGATGCATTTTGGAAACAAGTTCTGTGGACCGATGAGGTTAAAATTGAACTTTTTGGCCGGAATGAGCAAAGGTACGTTTGGAGAAGAAGGGGCACAGAATTTAATGAAAAGAACCTTTGTCCAACTGTTAAGCATGGGGTTGGATCAATCATGCTTTGGGGTTGTGTTGCAGCCAGTGGCACAGGGAACATCTCACGAGTAGAAGGAAAAATGTATTCAATAAAATTTCAGCAAATTTTAGATGGTAACTTGATGCCATCTGTGAAAAAGCTGAAGTCAAAGAGAGGATGGCTTCTACAAATGGCTAATGATCCTAAACACACCTCGAAATCCACGGGGGATTACATCAAGAGGCGTAAACTGAAGGTTTTGCCATGGCCTTCACAATCTCCTGACCTCAACATAATTGAAAATCTATGGATAGACCTTAAAACGAGCAGTGCGTGACAGACAGCACAGAAATCTCAAAGAACTGGAAGACTTTTGTAAGGAAGAATGGGCAAAGATACCTCAAACAAGAATTGAAAGACTCTTGGCTGGCTACAAAAAGCGTTTACAAGCTGTGATACTTGCCAAAGGGGGCAGTACAAGATATTAACTCTGCAGGGTGCCCAAACTTTTGCAGACGCCATTTTTTTGTTTTCTGTTATTTTGAAAGTGTAAATGATGGAAATAAAATCTAACTTTGGTTGACATATTATAAGAATGTCTAATCTGTAATTTGATGCCTTTTGGAGATTTTTCCATCTTTCCTTGGCTTCTTTATACAAATTTTTAGCTGGGGTGCCCAAACTTTCGATCCCCACTGTGTGTATATATATATATATATATATATATATATATATATATAGTGACTCTTAGATTTATTATTCATTGCTCACGTTGATTATTTAGGTTTTTTTTTTTCACTTGCTACTCCTATATTCAACATTGATGATTACATGAGGGAAGTGCAAAGAAGTATCCATCTAAAGTTATGCCACTATTGGAAAAGAACAAAGAATCGAAATTGTGAAGATAAAATCACTCAGAATACTATGAAAGTGGACTCTCCATACATCACTATTATCTTCCATATATGATGAATACTCTTATTAATATAACAGTTTCCCAGCCATTTAATAAATCTACATTATGCAGCTAAATGAATGCGCAGGACGTCTTTTTGTTTTTATATTCGCGGTTTTTATTTTTTTGATTGACTGTGTGTTCACCATGTCTAATGCCCATCCTTTCAAAAGATCTTCATGATCAAAATAAAGTAATTATTTGCATCTACTATTGATGTTTATTGTTTACTCTGCATTGGATTTAAAAATACCGCTTTTTTTGCAGTCTGCTCTATTCAGCTGCTAACCTTTTTCTAATATGCTTTATTAGGTTAATAATCCACACCCCAAAATAGGGCGAGTCAGAGAGATCCCTTTGATGGGTGGTCACGCCCCTAATGATGGCATTTTTTTCTTTTGTACATAATTCTGGAGGTCCTGTAACGTGCATTAGTAGAGGAGTATAATTCTCAGAGAAAATAGAGAGATTAGTAAGAATTTTAATACCCAGATATTTGAGGGAGCCAAGGCAAAACTTGAAAGGAAAGTTATCCCCAAGCTTATGGAACCGGGGAGGTGACACAGAAACGTTAAGAATCACCATCTTCGTTAAGTTGACCTTGAAATTGCTAAACTCACTGAATCTCTGGAATTCCGAAAAAATAGATGACAGAGACACTTGAGGATAGGAGACAGAGTAAGAGATCATCCGCGAAAAGGGCCAGTTTAACCTCCACTGAAGCCACAGATACACCCGTTACGTTGGGATTGTTGCGAAGTGCGATTGCCAAATGCTCCATGATCAGAACATATAAGAGAGGGGACAACGGGCAACCTTGCCACGTTCTGTTAGCGATAGGGAAGCGTGTTGTCAAAGAACCGTTAAGACAAATTTCTGGCAGAAGGAGAGGAATAAAGAGCAAGAAACTTTTGTTGGAAACCAGGACTCAGAGTGGGGTGGTCATTTTTGGCTCAAACGCTTTCCCAAATAGGCCTATCAAATACCTTTTCAACATCAACAGATAATAGGCAAGCAGGAATTCCCACAGATTGAAAACACTCTTGATCATGAACCATGCTCAAAGTGTTATCACAGGCTTCCCTACCCTGCACAAACCCCACCTGATCAGTATGTATAAGGTCTGGAAGCAGGGGTTGTACAGCTCCACTTTCTTAGAGTGGAACTTTACCAGTAACAACGTGGTAAAAAATAATGCTCTTTATTAATGTGGAATGTATGTTCCTTGCTAATTATGCTACCAAAATTAGTGTGTTTTGTAAAATGCCTCCAGCATTGCTCCCATGTCAGAGACAGCCATTTTGCTGAAGCCCAAAACTCCTGAACAGCACTAATCTTTAGACTCTCAGCAGATCAGCCTCTACATTTTCGGCACAGTGCCTAAAAATATAGAGCAACTGAGCATGTGTAGAGCCGGGTGAGACAGTGTATTACTGGATTTTAAACCGTATAGGCACTTATAATATTCTAATATTTTATATAGCTATACCTGCAAAAGGGACCAGCCTGTAGTGATATAGCAGAACTTAATTTTCTGACTACAGTTTCACTACATTTTATTTAAAAATTTCTGCAGGTGTTGTGCCACAATGAATAAAAGGTGGAGCAAAATTAGAACTACCTGAAATTGGTGCATGTGTCACTGTAAGAACCAAAGCTGTCGCAAATGTTTTTTGAATAGGCACAACACATTCACAAGTAACGCCAAATACTTATAACGCACTGCTACTTTGCTGAATTCCCCCCAGTGTCTAATAGTCAGTTGTCTTACCTATGCTCTGTGGGGAGTCCATATAAGGGAAGTTTTGGATATAATGTGCTCGGTCTGTCTCCATTAAAGCATCAAACACACGCTGAGTCCGAATCACTCCATTCTCTAAAAGTAAAGAAAAAAAAAAAAAGAAGATAGAATCTGAGAATGGTCTGAAATTCACAAAATTCTGCACTGTGGTTGGTTAACATGTATAAATATGATCAGATAGTCTGCCCAGCTCAGCTGTAGTAGAAAGAGTTCATTGCTCTGTACATTTGCTAGCTGCTTACAGTTCTTCGATGTAGTAGATGCGGAGCGTGAGATTCATCTGTCATTGCAGTTTCTATCTACAGTGTCAATTTTAGGACATACCTTAATTGTTTGCTCCTCATGCAAAACTCTAACATCTTCCTTTAGGGCTCATTCACAAAGGCACTCAGCGTCATGTGGAGTTTAGAGCCATTTGTTTACTTTTTGTACTAGCACTAAGCTGCGTGCAGGCAGTCTATATAAAGTGAATGGATATGCATTTGCTTTACGGACTAACCCACACAGCCAAGTACAACAGATACACAAGGACAGGTGCATGGACCCAGGCACAGAGCCTGTGCATATCCATTCTTGTGATATGGGCTGCCTGCACAGCTCTGTGCTAGCACAAAAAGTAAGCAAACGGCAAGGCTGAGCGCCTGTATGAATGAGCCCTAAGCCAGGTTCACACTTATGTGGTGTGGAATTTGCACCGGTTTCGCACCCAGTTCATGCGAAACTGCTGCGTTTGTGTATCTGAAGTTAACAACACCCGATATTGTTTTGCGAAAAGCGGTGTGATGTGCAGAATCGGATCGCATGGGTGTGAATACACATGCGATCCAATTCCACTGTACTGCGGGTAAAAAAAAAAAAAAAAAAGAAAAAAAGGGAGGACGAAGAAGACGAGGAGGACGAGGAGGGAGTCCTGCACCTTTTTGGAGCTGATGCGGTGCGATTTCAGCCATACAAAATGTATGGCTGAAATTGCACCGCACAGAATTCGCATGTGATTTGCACAGGAATGCGATGCGGTTCCTGTGCGAATCTCTCATGTGATATGCCACACTGCAGAAGTTAGGATTCCAGCAAACAAACAATGGTTGATCCAATAATAATCCATTAAAACAAAATCAACTTGCCAGGTGTCAGCAACAGGGTCAAAGTCACTTGATTGCTTTTAAACTCCGCCCTCTCACTCAACCCTTTTTGTTTTATCTTCCCTGCTCTTTTTCTTTGCATCAAAGTACCTGAATTTACTATACTGAATTTGAACTATATTAAATTAACCTTCAAACTCTTCTGTCTCAACGCACAGTGGATCCAGCCCAGTGACAGCCTGCTATCATGGCAATGGCAGCTATAATGTATAGTGTATATACTGTCAATACTGTGCTATAGGCTGGATCTGCGTGCAATGTGACATACAAGATGTTCCAAAGGAAGTCTGTGGTGTGTGCTAGCATGCAGGTTGTGCAGGAGACAAGGCCAGCAATCTCCCTCATCAGTGTCTAGGATTTATGAATGGTAACAGGTGCTGCCATTATAAACTCATGCTAACAATTGCGGATTATGTATATTTATCAGGGATCTTCAAAAAAAAAAAAAAAGAAAAAAGGGAGGACGAAGAAGACAAGGAGGACGAGGAGGGAGTCCTGAACTTTTTGGAGCTGATGCGGTGCGATTTCAGCCATACAAAATGTATGGCTGAAATTGCACCGCACAGAATTCGCATGTGATTTGCACAGGAATGCGATGCGGTTCCTGTGCGAATCTCTCATGTGATATGCCACACTGCAGAAGTTAGGATTCCAGCAAACAAACAATGGTTGATCCAATAATAATCCATTAAAACAAAATCAACTTGAATGGAAACCCTGCATTAGGGACATTTTGAATAAATCAATTGTGTACCAACGATCAGATTATTGTACCATCACTTTGAAAGCGGTATGTTTTGTACTAGGCATTACAGTCAGTAGGATGTGTTCCTTGTGCTGATGTCTCCTCTGTTAAGTAAACTTCTACTCCCTCCATGCCACCCCCACCTCCACTGCCGTAATCTTCCGCATCACCAGGGGTTATTAGAACAAAGGTCCACCCCCTTCCATTCATAGATCCTGTTTTATGCAGCTTCTATGAATGGAGTGTCAATTTTAGGACACAGGACACTCTATTAAGCCCCACCACTTCAGACGATTACGACATTTGGGGTGCGGTGGGACATAGAATAGAATAGAGGGAGGAGGATTTCACCCCCAACAGATCAGATATCATATTATTAGTGCCAGTGTGTTATGTTGGTCATGTGCCCCTGAACTGAAACCCATTCCTCCTCCCTACCCCTTTGAGCCCAGTGCTGGGGGTAGGTGCTCACTTTTGTGGTGTCTTGCGAGTTGGAGATGGGTGTTCAACTGTCAGGAGGCACTTCAGTGTCCCATATCCACCCATGACAACACAGAGATCTCCCAAACCGTCCCATGACCATAGCGATTGCAAAGAATCTGGGAGTGGCACAGAAACCAGGGGAGTCAGCAGCAGCTTGGGTGAATGGAAGAGACCTAAACAGAATGGCACACATGTAGCTTTTCAGTAAAAGTGATCCGATCCCTTTTACTGCACTCGGGAGTTACGCGCCACCTACCTCAAACCTGCTGCAGTTTTGGGGTTGTCCTGTTCCTCCAAAAAGACTGGGACCACTGTAAACTGGTGGGAATAGCTTGGACTGGTAAGCAGCAACATGTGTTATATGTTTCTTTTTTAGGTTAAATAGTGAATATGTTGAATGTTTCAAGAATCTCGGATTCACTACTTTTTTCAATATGCCCCTTAAAGTGGAACTGTGCCTTTCCACCAAATATGTGCTGCTGAAATATAGAAGTGCATCTGCACTTACTGTTTTATCTTAGTTCCCTTGCAAAGTCCTACAAACACCAGTTGATCCTGCCACTGGAGCCCACCTAATGCAGTTTCCTGTGAGGGTCCAAACCAATAATAAAATGTGAGTGCTAGGAACATTCAGCTATGGAAGAAAGAGCTATATGATGGACATCCTAAAATCAGAAAATGAGGCAGGCTCTAAATGGTTTGTGGTGCCTCTAATGCACGCTGTAAAAAGCTCACTGTGCCCAGTGAAATCAGAGTAAACAATTTCAGTACAGGAGAGGGCCTGTGCAACTGAGCAAGACTTAAGTACACTTGGAGTTCAGCTTTAGCCTGGGTTCACACTGATGCGGTGCGGAATTCGCACCTGTTTCTGTGCAAATTCCACACCACATCATAGTCGCACCCCGTTCATGCGACCTGCTGCGGGTGTGTATGTAAAGTTAACAACACCCCAAAATCGGTTTGCAAAATGCGATGCGATGTGCAGAAATCAGATTGCATGGTTGTGAATACATATACGATCTGATTCTAGTTCGGACCAAAAAGAAGGTCCTACACCTTTTTGGTGTGGATGCAGTGCAATTTGAGCCATAAAAAAAAAAATGTATGGCTGAAATCGCACCACACAGAATTCGCATGCAATTTGCACAGGAATGCAGTGTGGTTCCCGTGTAAATCACATGCGATAAGCCACACAGCAGAAGTGTGAACCCAGGCCCAGAGTACAACTAAAAGTCAAAACTTTTTTTTCCATTTTGGATATAGCTGAGAGGAATTAGAACCCCAGTCAGTTTTTATTGCAGTCTGTGTCCCTGTTAGGAAGATTCACCCTCTACATGTCCTGTTTACCATTATCATTGAAAGTGAAAGAAAATCACAAATTTTGGGTTGTCCCTAGAAAAGTAAGAGGGGAAAATCTTCCAATGGGGACACTAATTTTGGTGACCTGGAGGTCCCCTAGGGATTCCCTCAATTTGCAGTGATTTCCTCCCAGTTACTGTTTTGGCTATGGGACAGGAAGTAAAGGGAGGTCTCCTCAATAGGACACAGATGGCAAAAAAATACACTGACAGGTGTTCCCTTAGTCTATCTCATCTACAGATAAAAATGTTCGCCTGTAGGTCAACTTTAAGTAAACAGAGTGGATTTTCTGACTAAGGCTACGTTCACACTAGCATTGTGTGCAGGCGGCAGAGAGGCGTTTGGAAAGTGTTTTACCGCTTCCCAAACACCTCTGACAATTCTGTACATTGCAGCACATGGTGCTGTTCTAACGGAAGCGTTAGCGTCGAGGCAAAACGGACGCCTCTGGTCCAGTCAAGAGGCGTTGAATCCTCCTATTCTAGTCTACGGTGCCGCTCTGCAAACGCCTGGCCGGCGTTTGCAGCGCGGTTGCAGAGCGGTAACACCATTTAAACTTCATTATAGGAGTTTGCGGGAGCGTCTTTAACGCCCGGCAACCGCCTAGCAACCTCCGCTAAACCGCGCATGCGGCGCTTTAAAAAAAACGCTCCGCAAACGCCGGACCAACGCTTGCCAAACACTATAGGGGCGTTTGGCAAGCGTTGGTAAAACAGTCAAGTGTGAACGAGCCCTTAGAGCTTAGTTGCCTTCGGTATTGGAGAGCATTATCAGTTCATTGATTTCACCTGTAGCCTAGTATGTTCTTTGTTCCTAAAATCAGTGAGTTTACTATAAAAATAGGTAAAAACAGCAATAAATCCTACCAAATAACTAATCATTTCACACAGAGATTCTCAGGCACAAGATTGTACAATTCATCTATCAAACTGATCATTTATATTTGTCAGAGCAGTTACAGGGTCGCAGTGCAGAACATTCTGTTCTTTAATTAATTCACACATTAGATACATTTGATCCTAATTTGACTTTATTATTCAAATAAACAGACTATGACTTACTTCTAAGATTGCTAACAAGATCGCTGTGTGTTTTTCCACTTGATGTCCAAGCCATGGCCCTTGAGAACAGGAATCCAAACGGTAATGTTACTGTGGCCAGTCGTATGAAACTGCTCATGTCACAGAACCAGCGAGATGATCCACAGCCTGCTCTGTCAGTCAGAAAGAATTCATGAGCAGTGTCAGATTACTGAGAGGGAGAAGTTCAGTTTATACAAGTGAAGCCCACTGACAGGCTGAAAAGCTGTATCCAAAATATGTGTGCCAATAAGTCTTACATATAGTTTCAATAAGTCTTAGGACTGCTCTGTGTATTAGTGTGACACCAGAGACTATTATTAAACATTTACATGAAAACCTTATAAAAAGTGGTTCTAAAGCCAAAACTTTTTTTTTTTACCTTCCATAAAAAGGTGAAAAAACATTTTACAATCCCATTTCACACACAGCAGGTGAGTATAACATTTATTATTTTATTTTAAAAAAGATGTGCCTTTAGTAACACTTTAAATCAAGGGAAGAAAAAAACAATTTATACAATGTAATAAAATCAGCACTGCATAAATACAAGAAATAAAAACACATTTAAAGCAGAACTCCAGGTATCATCTTAAAGTAATAAGCTAAACATGCTTTTTTACCTTAATGCATTCCTTCCATTAAGATAACAATTTTTTTTATATTCCTCTGTCCTCCCCCTGCCCTGAGTGAAGAGGGGGAAATAGATCCAGTGCTGTGCATGGCTGCATCTCTTCTCCCTTCGCTTCCTCTTCATACAGGGACTCGAACAGCAGCAGGAGCCATTGGTACCTGCTGCAGTCAATCAAATGCAGTGAGGACATGGGGGTGGGGCTAAGTCCTACTGTGAATGTCTATGGAGCACAGCTCTATAGACACAGCTTAGAAGCGAGCAGACACTGTGTTCCACCATAGCAAACGGCTTGCTATGGAAACCCACAAAGAAGAGGAGGAGCCAAGATCGCTGCCGGGTAACTCGAGTAGAGGAGGATTGAGGCCACTCTGTGCAATACTATGGCACAGAGCAGAGGAGTATAAAATGTTTGTTATTTTAAAAAACAATGTGACTTCAGTAACACTTTAATTGCAGAGTTCAAAGAATCCAGCTTAAACCAATGTAAATATGTATATCTCATACCTGAGGGACCATTGTTTAAGCTGGACATTACTGTAGTAGTTGGCACTACTACAGCAATCGCCACAATCTTCCAGGTTCCATGCCAAGCATTTGCCTTGCTGCACACCGCTCAGAGGAAGTAGCATAAATAGGCTTATTTTTCAAAACAAAAGTAAGAAAAGAAAACAGTAGAACAGTTGAAGGGGCAGAGCACAGACCGGTGACTGATAGTCACTGCTCTCCGCTCAGAACAGACCGGGAACTGAGCGAACAGGGGGTCATGTGATTGCTCAGTTCTCAGGCTAAGAGTTGGTGGGGGTGCAGCCACTGGTGTATTTAGGTTCTGCGCTGCCCTAGGCAATACAAAAAACAGACGCCCCTCCTCCCCGGCATAGAGAGCCTGACACCAACCAACATCAGACCTCCCCCTCGCCCCCCCTTCCCGCGGAGAGAGCCTGACAGTGACCAACAACACCCCTGCCCCATCGTTCCCTCACCCGAGAGAGCCAATCGGGCTCTGCATACACCATCAAGCAGCCCACAGCCTCTCTCAGATCCCACCAGGTCCCCATGCTGCATATGTCCCTTCTTCCAGGGGGCAGTGTTGCCCCCTAATAAATGCCACCCTAGGCAAATACGCCTCTGGGTGCAGCGACACAGTGATACTGCAGCACGAGTATGTATGTTTATTTTTTTTTTTACTGTCCCCACACTTCCCCTTTAAATCAATGAAAAACATTGGACCAGCAAAAGTAATAACCTAATAACATTTGTTTTTTGCCCCACTCACACAGAACAAATGTACATGCGGTTTCACTGGGTGAATTACAATGTATTCTCTTTTTAATACATCTCCATGTTTCAAATAAGACACATGCCTCTTGTCTTTAGAAAGAAAACATTTGCTTATCCCAGATTTTAGCTTTAGGCTCCATTCACACTATGGCATTTATCAGCTGGACGCTCAGAAATGCTCAACAAGCAAAATCCAAATCGATGCTATGGCCCTTGTTTACATATGAGTGTTTCCTCACCTATAGCAAAACGCCTGTCGCTCAAAAAAGCATGTGCGTTACTTTTCAGGCAGATCTGAGCGTTTTGTGCCCCTAGACTTGAATGGAAAAACACCTGAACACTGGGAATGAGCATTTTTAAGTGTTTTTTCAGGCATTTTCAGCTCAAACAGCAGATATCTCTATTGGCCAAAGCAAAAACACCTAAATGAAAAAAAAAATGCCTGAAAAAACCTATAATATTTGCAAATCTGGAAAAAAAAAAAACAAAAACAAAAAAGCTGGAAAAAGCCTGAAAAACGCTCAGCGTGAATGGAGCCTTAAAGTGTAAGATCGCCTCTTCACAAATAAATTAAAAGATTAACTAACAGGTTACACCCTGCCCACACCCCTGGTCCTTCCTCCCATTTACCTCTGTGGGTGATTAGCTGTCACTGCTCACATGGCTGGTGCAGCGGTCAGGGGATTTGAAAGCCGCACTTTTCTTCCCTTTATTTACTTAACCACTTCCTCGAGCAAAATCATGTATTTATACGGGGGGAGTAGAGCCATACAAAAGCAGTGTGCTTACAGTGTAAAGCACACACACAGTTAACCATTTGATCGTCCTAGATGTTATCCCCTTCCTGCCCAGTGCCATTAGTACAGTGTCAGTGCTTTTAACACTGATCACTGTATTGGTGTCACTGGGGATGTCAGTGACACCAAGTCCGTTCCCCTCAGTGTCAGAATGCCCGTCTCAGTCCCGCTATAAGTCACTGATCGCCACCATTACTAGTAAAAAAAAAAACTAAATAAAAACGCTATAACTTTCACATAAACCAATTAATTTACACGTATTGGGATATTTTTTTTTTTTTTTTAGCAAAGACAGGAAGCAGAATACATTTTGTCCTAAATTTGATTTTTAAATTTTTTTTTTTACTGGACATGTTTAATAGCAAAAAGTCAAAAATATAGTTTTTTTCTCAAAATTGTTGGTCTTCTTTTGTTTATAGCGCAAACAAATAAAATAAAGCAGAGGCGATCAAATACCACCAAAAGAAAGCTCTATTTGTGGGGGAAAAAAAAGAGGACGTAAATGTCATTTGGGTGCAGCGTTGCATGACCGCGCAATTGTCAGTTAAAGTAACGCAGCGTCGTATCGCAAAAAATGGCCTGGTCAGGAAGGGGGGCAAATCCTCTGGAGGGCAAGTGGTTAAAAGAGGTTTTAAAAAGCTGAAGGTAACAGCTAATCACTTACAATTGTAAGCGCAGTAGGGGGGGGGGGGGGGGGGGGGGGGGGGGGGGGGGGTGAGGTTAGGCTGTAGGGCGTTAGCTTACCTTTTCATTTCTTGTGAGCCTAGCTATACTGCAGGAAGGTGGAATCAGGACCACTTGCAGCCTTCTTGTTTCAAATATGAAGGGCTAAGAGCAACCTGAATAGTTCCACAGAAAAAAAAAAACAAAAACCAGAAACCACAGCCTTCTATTGTTTTTATATTTTAGTTTAGCACAAGAGGGCTAGCATCCTTCACAAAGGTTACTTTCATAAAAGGACACTGAAATACCAAGAAATATCAATACAGAAAGTGCACAAATTGTATCCGGTCCGCTCTCATGCTGGAGACACAATTAGAAGATTAGATCAGAGATTACCTTATGACAGGCAAGGAAACAGCATCATTCACAATGGCTGTAATGTCCTCTGAAGGCTCACTTCACACCAAGAAACGTTCAGCAATGGCTCAAGAGACACATGCACATAAACAAGCTATGAACATCCTCTTGGGTCCTGACACTCAGTAGGCTCTCTTATTATGATTTCCACAGCACGCTCAAACTTATACTATGTGACCTTTATTTAGAGATTAATAAAAGAGGGAAACAAATGTCATTTATTTGAGTGGAACAGATTTCTGGTATTAGGAGGAGTTAGAAGTATATTACAGTAAATCTACAAACACTTGCATTTCATTACGACCCATGGGGTTGTTTACAATTGGCGGTTTTAAATGTTAACGGTTGTTCTGAAAGATCCATTAAATATCCTGCTAATGTTTAAGATGGTTGCTGCCGTTATGGTGGCAGGTTTTATTGTTAAGTCTCCCTGGAGCAGCAGCAGCATTCCCCGGCTGCAAAGCAGACTCCTGTTCATCCAACCAACCTCCCTAACTGAAGAATGGAAAGGAAATATTAGTGCCCAAGGACATAGGTCCCCTATAATGGAACTCAAGTGAAGCCACCGACTCCAGTTAATGGCTCTCCAATGGCAAAATCTATTAGCAAAATCCTCGAATAAACACGTGCACTTACTGAATACTTTCACTGCCTTTAAACATGTAATTTTATGTACGCAGAAGTGCTGTATTATTTTCTAAGCCCTTTTTTTAGGTTTGTGAGTAATCAGATGCAGACGAGTCATTTTCAAAGCTAGTGAAAAGAGTGGACTAGTATGAGGCTTCATGGAAAGACAATAGTCTAAACCAGTGGTCTCCAAACTGTGGCTCGGGGGCCAGATGGGCTTACTTTTATCTGGCTCTTCAGGCATTTTACCTTTCACTGATACAAAGCACTATTCCACCCACTGACACCAACGATGGGGCACTATTCCACCCACTGACACCAACAATGGGACACTATTCCACCCACTGACACCAACAATGGGGCACTATTCCACCCACTGACACCAACAATGGGGCACTATTCCACCCATTGACACTAATGGTAGGGCACTATTCTTTCAACTGATACTAGTTAAGGCACACTCTTCCTCCACCCAATACTAAAGATGGAACAATGTTTATTCCCACTAATTCCAGGACATTTTCTACTCCCACCTGCCACTGTCTGCCCCCCCTAAAATGTTAATGACAGTAAACTGGCCATTTGTTTGAAAAGTTTGGAGACCCCCTACAGCTTGCAGCAAAGTCAACACTTGCTTACTGCATGTATTACACAGAAAGAAAGGTATTGCGGTGTCACCAAAGAGCCCCTGTGTCATGAAATGTTTGGGCACCCCAATCAAT